GATTGGTCAAAAGGTTTCATGTGAAATACCCCAACAAACCGAAAGATAACCCTTAACATATGCTTTGGTTTGCTTTACGGGATCTGTCCTTTTTGTAAGGGGGGCCGGATGTCAACGCTGCAAATACTGTATATTCTTGCTTTGACAATATGCAGAACTGTCTGGTATTTATATAGTTAAATCAGGCAACAGTGAAAGCCGGGAAAAAGAAACGGGAAGTAAATCATGTTGTCCAAGTTAATTGGAAGATGTGAACCATGACCCCAAAATAAGGGAGGGAAAAATGCTTAATATGTATGTGTAACGGAAAAGGATCAGATCTAAGCATTTTTCTACCATGCTGTACTGACGTCTCTGTAACCTTAATAAATGCTTTTAGGAAAAGATATGCCTGAAAGTCCTTTTAAGTGTTTCGTTAATCAGACACATGACACATACTATATTATTTAAGGGATTCATCCCTCTTAGAATGACATATATATTCCAAAACTTTTCTATTTCTTTAACCATATTCAAACAAATGTTTCTTTTTTTAAGTATTCTCTCTGGTAAGTCCCATCACATATTTTCTTGGTTTCCACTTTAGTCTTTTTTCCTTTGCCCAGTATCTTTCTTAATCAATGTATTTTGCTGAATCAAAAAATTTTTCCGTATGTTCGTAAATGTTGCTATAGATATAGAAAGTAAATCAGGTGAAGTGTCTTTGTACAGGGCTTCTGCCTTTCCATGTTTGTTGAAAATCTTTTTCTTTTTCTTTCTGTCCGCTTCTCTTATCATTTCCTTCCTCTCCGATGTTCCTGACATCTCTACAGTCCATTTTATCCAATCTGTTTTCTTGTCCTCAGATTTATTTTGTAGTCTTAAGGGATAAGTTGTTTTTTCCAATTCTTGTGAACTTTTTTCCACTAGGATTAAATCATGTTTCCTTGTTTTGTTAAGTTCCATCTTTAAGTCTCTATTCTCAATTCTATATCCATTTATCTGTTTTATCTGCTCCTTCTCTGTTGTTGTTTTCTGGGAATTTTTATGTTGTAGAGTTAACTTAGACATAGATTGAATTATATTTTCAAAGTTATTTTGGATTTCTTTCTGGTTTAAAGCCATTGTTGTTTGAATTAGTTCCAGTATACTATATATCTCCTCCTGTGAAGTATTTATGCTTTCTTTCTTTTTTTAAACAATATTTTATTAGGTTTTATAAGGGTAGGGGAGGGATAGGGTCAATATAGGTATTGGGGTTCAGGGTAAGGTGGAGGGATGGGGTTGGGATAAGGGTAGGTACAACAATGGGGTTGCCCCCAGTAACATTTCCACGCTTTAGCAAGCAGACTATTGTCCGGATACAAATATTCAATAACAATAATTAATATAATAGTAAATAGCTATAGTCAATAAGAAGAACAGTAATCATAAAGAGTATCAATTAATCAGTAAATAGCATTCATCTTATTAAATTTCACAATCATTTCTCACTGGTTCGTTTTGCTAACCATTGGTAAAAAGTTTCCCATGTTTTAAAATAGACTGAGTCTTCTTTCTCTTTAATCTCTAGGGTTAGTCTGTCCATTTCTGCACATTCTAAAATTTTCCTAATTATGATCTCATCAGATGGTATATTTTCATTTTTCAAAAATTGGGCAAATGCTATTCTCGCAGATGTCAATACATGTAATATTAAATACTCATTCTCTTTTCCATAATTGGATCCTAATATTGCTAACAAAAACTGTTGTGTTTTCGGTTCGCAAGCAATTGACGAAGACGCATGGTGGAAACAATAGCTCTTTATTCTCCTTCTCCAACTCCAAGCAAGAAGCAAAAGGCTCGTAGGCCTTTTATAGGGTGAGGAATCCAGATAGTGCTAACCAATAGGAATGCAGCGTTTTCACGCCTTGCGCATGTGCGCAAGGCTGGCGCCACTCTGTCTGATCCCAGGCAGCTTTTACAATCCCCGGGACCATTTGCAACCTTTCTGGGCCTGCTGAGTTTCCTCAACAGGCCCAGGACACAACACCCCTCCCCCCTAGATAGAACACACACAATTCCAATTTTCTTTACAATAATAATAAAATAAAGGGAAATAATATTCTACTCCATACAACACCCTTCTATAACTAATAGGGTTAGCTAACCAACCACTCTCTAATGTGGACTTCGCGTGTCTATCTGTCACCCAACATAGGTCCCATCTCCTTGACCTAGACCTGTATGGTCCCTTGTGTTGACAGGAACCTCACATAATTGCCTAGATGCTTAGGAGGGGCCTTAGCCCGTTGTGACCTACGCAAGGTTAGGGAGGGGGCCTGGCTTGTCAGCTCACCTGCTCGGCTAGGCAGACCAGGACTTGTACTTAAGGGCGCCTGGCCTACCGGCCCGTCTGATGGGCTCACTAGACCAGGACTTTTATGCACACGTTTTGCAGGTGACCCCTGGTAAGGCGTACTGGCGAAATTGCCAGAGCTCTTTCCAGGCTCCGTTAGAGCAGCTGGAATTCCCCAACCTTCTGAATTGGCTGAGGATTCCCCAACTACCCTGGATGGCTCCAGGGAACTTAATCCCTCGAGCCCGTGACCCGTCTTGGACGTGACCTGCGCTGCAGGAGTGCCCCAATAGTTCCAGTCCCCTGTGGCCGAGGTGCCAGAGTCAGGAGCCGCCTGTATGGCAAACTCCTCCTCAGGTGAATCCCTGTTTGGAGCTCTTGCGGATACACATGACTCCCTGTTCGGCGCAATAACTGAACCGTGAGGATGCCCTTGCTCTACCCCTGGGAAATCCCTAGCGTCCTGCGGTAATTCCCAGGAGCAATGAGGTGGGGTCTCCCAATGTTGACCTGAAGTGCGATCTGGCTCCTGGGCCCCCTCCCCCCGAGAGCGGAGGCAGGGGTGGAAGCTTCATGGGACAACCGCCAGCGCAGTTGATCGATGTGACGCCTCAGGACGCGACCATCTCCCAGGGTCACTTCGTATGATAGAGGTCCAGAGATCTTACAGATGACAGCAGGGACCCAGAGGTGTCCAGGACCATAGTTTCTAGCCCAGACCGGATCGCCCACCTGAAGTCTCCTAGGTGCCCGCGGCTGTGACACTTGTGAAGCCACCCGGTCAGGGTGCAGTCTATCCAACTTAGTAATGAGGCGGTGACCCCAGCGCAGTTCAGCTGGGCTCTTTCCGGTGGCAGTGCATGGTGTGGTGCGATGTGCAAGAAGGAAATCTGCTAACCTGTGATGCCAGCTGCCGTATGTTAGTCTTTTGAGTGCGTCTTTGGTGGTGCACACCATTCTGTCCGCTTGCCCGTTGGTGGAAGGGTAAAAGGGAGCAGATGTTGCATGCTGGATCAGGTTGGCCTGAAGAAAAGCCTGGAACTCACAAGATGTAAATTGAGGGCCATTGTCAGAGACAAGCACATCTGGAAGGCCATGGGTTGCAAAGATTCCTCTTAACACCTGGATGGTCCTGGCAGTAGTAGTGGAGGAGACAGGTACAACCTCTAGCCACTTGGAATGGCTATCCACAAGGATAAGGAAGAATTGCCCCTGGAAGGGCCCAGCATAATCTAAATGTACCCGTGACCAAGGGGTGTGCGTCTCCCCCCACCTGTGTACTGGGGCCTGAGGCATGTCAGGCCATGATTGTTGGCACACTTGGCACCCGTGCACCTGAGCTTCGATAGCCTTATCAAGCCCAGGCCACCAAAGATGGCTGCGCGCAAGCGCTTTCATGCGCACAATTCCGGGATGACCCTCATGCAGTGAGGACAAGATCCTAGACCTCAGTGAGGCAGGAATAACTACTCTACTCCCCCATAATAGGCACCCATTGAAGGTAGACAGTGCGTTTCTCCTTTGCCAGAACCTTTGAAATGTCGCATCTGGACACGTGTCAGGCCATCCTGACAATACCCATGTCAGCACGCGTGCAAGCGTGTGATCAGTGGCAGTCTCTGCAGCCACGTCCCTAGCATTGAGGGGAGATTCAGGCAACTCTTGAATAGAAAGAATATTAATGGCAGGAGCAGGGTCTGACTCTACCTGTTTCAGAGGTAATCTGCTTAGGCCATCTGCATGGCCCATCTCTTTACCAGGTTTGTGAACTAGAGTGTAGTCATATGCTGACAGGAAAATGGACCATCTCAGCATACGAGGAGAAATGATATGAGGTGTCTGTTTGTTGGTTGTAAACAACCCCAGCAGAGGCTTATGGTCTGTATAGACCGTGAAGTGGCGGCCATATAAGAAATAATGGAATTTCTTAATGCCAGCCACTATTGCCAAGGCCTCTCTGTCAATCTGAGCGTAATTCCGCTCTGCAGATGACAGAGTCCTTGAATAATAGGCCACAGGGACTTGTGTCCCATCAGCCTTCAGATGACTAAGTACTGCTCCCACTCCATAAGGAGATGCATCGCATGCGATGCAAACAGGCAGTTGCTCATTGAAATGCGCTAAAACAGCATTAGAAGTGAGCAAGGCCTTAACCTCATTGAAACTCCGGTCATGGACTTTAGTCCACTGCCATGGAGCCTGCTTGTCTAAGAGCCTATGTAACGGCTCTGCCACAGCAGCCTTATGTGGGGGAAATGCATGGTAGAAATTCAAAAGTCCCAAGAAGGCTTGTAACTCACTCTTGGACTTTGGACTTGGGGCCTGCTGAATAGCTAGCAGTTTGTCTTCAGCAGGGCGAATGCCTTGGGCATCAATCCTGAAGCCCAAGAATTCAGTTGAAGCGACTCCTATCTTACATTTATCCTGCTTTAATTTAAGGCCTGCTTTTCGGAAACAAAGCAAGACAGCCCTTAACCTTTCTGCTAAATTTTGAGATGACCCCCCAGCAATGAGGACATCATCAAAGTAGGGGCAGACCCCAGGAATACCTCGAAGTGTGCTCTCCGTTACACTTTGGAATATGCCAGGGGCTACATTTACCCCAAATTGCAGTCTCTTGACCTTGAAGGCCCCCCTGTGAGTTACAATAGTCTGGGCCTCTGCAGCTGCCTCATCAACAGGTAGCTGTTGATAGGCCTGTGCCAGGTCAAGTTTCGCAAAGATGCGCCCCCCCTTGAGGGAGGCCAGGATGTGGCTTACAACAGGAACTGGATAAGCGTGCTGTTGCAATGCCTTATTCAGTGTACACTTGTAATCTGCACATATACGTATTTCCCCATTAGCCTTTAGAGGCATTACTATGGGGGTTTCCCATGGACTAGAATCCACAGGTTCTAAGATGCCCTGCTGGAGCAATTTGTAAAGCTCAGCATCTATTTTACCTTTGAGGGCAAAAGGTACCCTTCTAGGCTTAACCCTGATGGGCGTGATAGTTGGGTCCAACCGTAGCGCAATGGGGGGCCCCTTGTAGGATCTTAGCTCTGAACTAAACACATCTGCAAACTCCTTGTAGACGTCTGCAAGGCTCAACGTTTGCAAATGGTGCAGCCCAGTTACCTGGATTCCCAGAGCCTCGAACCAATCGAGTCCAATAAGACTCGTACGTTCACCCCCAACTACCACCACATCTAGGAGACCTTCAAAATCCTTATGCTGCACCTTAAGGGTGGCCTCCCCCTTAACACACACCATAGAATTCTGAAAATCTGTAAGTATTAGATTCGATGGCCTGAGTTTAACTCAAAGGCCACTACTACTACAAATCCTTTTGAATGTGTTAATTGAAATAATTGAGAGAGCAGACCCAGTGTCCAACTCCATTAATAAGGGAACCCCTTGCAACCTTACGTTAATGGAAAGTTTCTTCTTAAGGGGCTTGTGTGTCCCTGTTCTTAGAATACTCCTGCGCGATGCGCAGAAACCCACCCTGTGTTGGCTGGGGACCCTGGTACCTTTCTGAAGCAATTCTTCCCGAGGTTGGACCTTCTGGCGACCCAAACAGATGGATGCGATGTGGCCTTGCCTGCCACACGCCCTGCAAATGGCGGATCAGAACCTGCAATCAGCTCGCTTTTGGCGTCCTCCGCACCCGAAGCATTGAAGAGATGCTGGGGCCTTGTCCGGACGTCCCTTCTGCCTCCTCTCAGCTGGCTGGTGAAGTCTGTCCACCTCCTCTTCAGGATCTGCTTCTGATCCTTCTCGAGCGTCCTCTTGATGGACGGTAGCTGTGTCTGGAGGGTTCCTGGCGAGCCGCAAGGCCTTCACAGCCCCGCCTGCTGCTTCCTCAGCTGCCACCTCTCGTAAGGCATCTTGGAAGGAAACATCTTCTTTTGCAAAGATCTTCTGTTGTAAGTCTCTGCTCCTTAAGCCGCAACCGAAGCGATCTCGCAGCCTCTCTTCCAGATCCTTGAACTCACAAGGCCTGGCCACTTGCCTTAAGGCAGCAATAAAGTCCGCAGCAGATTCACCCGGCCTCTGGTCTCGCTGCTCGAACACGTGCCTCCAAGCAATGACGGATAACTTCGGCTGGAAGTGTTCCTTCAACATCTTTTTTAGATCAGCATATGTTACTGACTCGAGAGGTGCAGGGGCCACCAGGTTTTCTGCGATGTCAAAAGCTTCTTGTCCACAGGCACACAAAAGAGTTGCTGCCTTCAGGCCGTCTTCTCTTATCTGATTTACTCTAAAGTAATTCTCCACCCGTGCTACGTAGGAATTCCATCTCTCTGGGTGGGAGACATCGAAATCAGTTAAGCGGCCAATCTTCGACATCGTAAAGTTTACGACCTTCACCAATCGCTTCGTCTGCAAGCTGATGTTTGGGAAAGGGTCCTTTAGCCGAGCTCACTCCCCAGCGACGCTGTACTGGTGGAATGGGACGCTGATGCAGACGCCGTCTTCCCTTGTCAGGACTTCCTGGGTAAGTCCCTCTTAATTTCTTAAGCTTGCAAAGGATGCCACCTTCGTCGCCAGTGTTGTGTTTTCGGTTCGCAAGCAATTGACGAAGACACATGGTGGAAACAATAGCTCTTTATTCTCCTTCTCCAAATCCAAGCAAGAAGCAAAAGGCTCGCAGGCCTTTTATAGGGTGAGGAACCCAGATAGTGCTAACCAATAGGAACGCAGTGTTTTCGCGCCTTGTGCATGCGCACAAGGCTGCCGCCGCTCTGTCTGGTCCCGGGCAGCTTTTACAATCCCCGGGACCATTTGCAACCTTTCTGGGCCTGCTGAGTTTTCTCAACAGGCCCAGGACACAACAAAAACAATTCTGGCTTAAATTCTATCTGTATTTTAATCATCTTTTCCAGCCATGTATGAATCTTAAACCAAATTTTTTTTGCACTAGAACATACCCACCAGATATGGTAATAAGTACCTGGCTTTTGTTTACATTTCCAACAATTATTTGAAACATTTTTAAACATTTTCGCTAGTCTTACTGGTTTCATGTGCCATCTATAAAACATTTTATATAGGTTTTCTTTATATGAAGCTGCTTTAGTCAGTTTAACATTTCTATCCCATAGCTTTTGCCAATCTTCTAAGTCTATAGAATATCCAAAGTTTTTTGCCCATACTATCATTGTTTCTTTTAACTTGTTCTTCTTCCATCTTCCAGTTTAGCAGAAATCTATAAAGTTTGTTAATCAAGTTTTCATCTGTTTTCAAGAATATTTGATCAAATTCTATCTGTTCTTTATAAAATCCCATTGTCTTTACATCTTTCTCATATCTTGTTTGGATTTGCAAATAAGGCCACCATGCTAAGTCAATACCTTGTTGTTGTAGGTCTTGCCTGTCTTTAAGTTTTCCATCCTTGTCCAAAATGTCTTTGTAAGTAACAAGTTTGTCGTAGTTAATTAAATTTGGGTAAGCAAAGGCTTCCATTGTTGAAAGTCACTCTGGTATTTTAATATAATTTTTTTGTTTAATTCTCTCTCATTCTAGAAAGAGTACATTCCTTATAGCATGGTTTTGAAAATATCTGTGTATTTTATTTTTCCCATACCACAGGAAGGCATGCCAACCCAGTTGTAGGTCATGCCCCTCTAGGTAGAGAAGTCTTTTATTTCTCAACGTTATCCATTCTTTGAGCCATGGTAAAATGGCTGCTTGATAATAAAGTCTCCAATCCGGGAGTCCAAATCCTCCACTATCTTTAGCTTCTTGTAACATTTTAACTTTAATTCATGCTTTTTTCCCTTGCCATATGAATCTCAATATTGTTGCATTTAAATCATCAAAAATATCTTTCCCAATTTTACAGGAATTGTTTGAAATAAGAAAAGTAGTTTCGGTAGGACACTCATCTTCACTGTCGCTATTCTTCCTAGCAGTGACAATTGAAGGTTTTTCCACTTTTCCAAATCTAATTTTATTTGTTTCAACAGTCTTTCGTGATTATCTTCTTTTAGTGTTGTACATCTTGATGTTAAGTAAATACCTAAGTATTTGACCTTTTTGACTATTTGCAGATTTGTCTTTTTTATGAATTAGGTTTTCTGTTTGTTGAAAGTTTTTTGTTAGTACCTTAGTCTTTTCTCTATTTATTTTCAAACCAGCCACTTCTCCAATTTTTTCTATTTTCTGCAACAGTTTAGTAGTTGTTTCTAGTGGCTCCACCAAGATGAAGACCAAGTCATCTGCAAAAGCTTGTAATTTATATTTCTGCTCTTTTATCTCCAGTCCTTTAATTTCCGTGTCCTGCCTAATATTTCTAGCCAGAACTTCCAATGTTAAAATGAATAGCAAGGGGGATAATGGGCATCCCTGTCTTGTACCTTTTTTAATATCAAAGCTTTCTGTATAATATCCATTTAAAAGTATCCTGGCTGTTTGTTTATTGTAAATTGCTTGAATTGTGTTTATAAAATTGTTGCCAAAGTCCATTTCGATCAGCTGTTGAAACATAAATTGCCAATTTAAGTTGTCAAAGGCTTTTTGCGCATCAAGATACGTCAATGCCATCTGTTTCCCTGGATGATTTTCATAGTATTCCAAAATGTTTAAGATGATCCTTAAATTATTTTTTATCTGTCTTTTAGGTAAAAAAAACCATTTTTTTTATTGAAAAGTTTTATAAAAATTACAATATAAACCCCTAAACCCACCCACCTCTCCCCCCCTCTCCCTCCCCCACTTCCCAGAGCTAAATACAGGGTTACAAATATAATAATCATAATCTAACTAACATTAACCAACTATATAAATAACCAAGTCCATAATGCGCTTTAACTCCCCTTTAACATAAATATAATAATAATTAAAACATAAACAAATTAGTATCCTAATTATTAAACAATAGAATATCCATATTGTTAAACAATACTAATACTAAAAGTAATAATATCATATAATTAAAACTAACAAAAATTTCACTATAATAAACTATTAATACTAATAATACTCTAAAATTTACTCATAGGCTAAATGGAACTTTTTAGTCCCATATTTGTTCTGAATATAATCTATCCATCTTCTCCAAACCAAAATGTATCTTTCTTGTGAGTGATCCTTCAAATAGGCAGAAATCTTAGCCATTTCTGCTAAATTTGACACTTTAAGCGTCCATTCTTCTATAGTAGGCAAGCAATCCTTCTTCCAATATTGCCCTACTAATAACCTTGCAGCTGTTATCAAATTCAACATCAAGTTAGTTTCTTTAATATCACAATCTATAATAACACC